GTTGTGTTGTTCATGCATTCTAATTTTTTTTCTATTTGTTTCTGCTTATTTGTAGGGTAATCAAGCATCTATACTAGATAATGTAATCGATTATATCAAGTTTCTGAAACTTCGACTAAATGTAAGTGACAACTAATGCTTCTGTATTTTGATATCATTTTAATGTTAAATAATTTGTCAAAACTGTTGTTGATACCAGAGTTAACAATAACCAAACCAATATTATTATTGAAAAAGCTAATATGCAGTAGAAATAAAACAATAATACCCCCACATCTTGTAATTAGTAACTTCAACGATCTAACCCACCACTCACATCTGTTTGATCTAAATCAGAGAAGTAAATATTGTTACTAATTTCTAAAGGATTTACTCTAGAATACCTGATTGATATTTAAACTTTGCTAGTATTAATATAGAGTATTAATATATAGAGAAAGATAACGACATTAATGATTAAGAGATACTATTCATCTTTGCATCGTATAGTTTGGTGTGCTTGTTATCATACATTTATTGACATTATGATGGGCGTCTCTTTAAGAACGTTTATTTTATGTGGACTACTTAAAATTTAAAAGAATGTAATGTCCTAGAAAACATAAGGATGCATTACTTGATCTCATTAGAATGTCTTACCTAGAATTGTATCTACAATCTCCATTTTTGTTTTTTTTTTCAATAACTTTGTTTCTGGTAATTTTCTTTTGTCACTCCACAAGTTTGTCAAACACCAATCAATGATCCATCTTATGGCTTCAATGAAATGAACATACCTTTAACACCATTTTCTTAATGAATATTAATTCAATTCTTATGGTACTCAATTATATACATGTAAACAATATATGATGATCCTCCCTCTACTTTATTTATTTTCATTAATTGTCTTAACAAGGAAAAGTTGCCTCTGTATTTAATCTTTATGGTATAAAACAAAATTGATATTTCTAATTGGACATGAATATTCAAAGTTTATATTCAATTACTTTATCTTGTAGTTTCATTGTATGAATTATTAATTTGATTCCTCTATAATTTGCCTCGTTTAGAACATTTCTTGTTCTAATTATGGATTTGATTGCTCTATCTTCAATCATTTTACATTCTCTTAATCTTTGAAATTTTATTGAAATGGTTTCTTGATCAATCAAAAAATTTTATAGTATCCCTCATAATTCTCTAAATCGCACTAGGTATTTCATTTGTACCTAAAAAAGAAATAATCCAAATAATTTGTTTCAAAAAGGTTGATATTCTAGTGAAGCATGCATTAAATTCTAATGCAATATGGTTTAACTTGGTTTTATTATTTTATGGTATGGTTTCTTTGTTAGTGAAGGTTAATTAACAATTATATTCAATAAGCATGGTGGGAAAAAGTAATGATAGGCATCTAATAGTGTCTTACATACGCACTGTTCTTTCAATGTGTTTTATTTTACTTTATTTTTGCAAATAATGTGTTTTTCACCATATGATTTCGAGTGTTACCAACCTGAACGCTTGTGTTCTAATCATATATAACTTGTTTAATGAACAAGCTTGCGTATCATGTTGTAATATGGATGATTTGCTTAGAGAACAAACTGAGCTCAATCCAATTATTAAGCCAAATGTAAGCTATTAGCATATAACAAATATATATACAGCCCTAATCTACATAGCAAATTTTATTGAGCTCTTTCTCTTAACTAATTACAGAGTTGCCATAAATTTGTATTTTATACTAAAATTCATGAACTTTTTTTTTAATTTTTTATCCTATTTGTTCACGTTTTCAACCAAGCATATAGAAAAGGATGTTGGTTAATTAGGTGGAAGAGAAACAACTATTCCAAGAAACATTTTAACTTTCATTTGAATTGTTTTCCCTTTGTTGTTATTATACCTCTGCTTCAATTCTAATTCAGTGCAAATGGCAGGTGTTGAGCCAAACTAGATTGACCGGTGAAGCCTCAGCTCATTCCTTCGTTCATATTGAGGTGCTTTATTTCTTCGTTCCCTTTTATGATTATTAGTGTTTGCATAATGTGCTTTTATAACTTTGTTCTGCTATTTTACTATTAAATATTGTATCAATATCACTTTACATTTATCAGCTAGTATTTTTTCTTTATACAATATAATTGTTTGGCTTTGTTCTGCTGCCTTATTTTAGTATTGTATTACTAGAACATTTAAGAAGATATTATATCACTGAAAATTCATCAGCCAATGCTTTATTTATTTCCTACCTAAAGAATAATTAGGCCTGGTTGTTTTTGAATCCTTCTGCTCGGCATATGGAACATTTTCGTTGTATCTATAGTGTGCTCTTGTATGCAGCTATATTCCATTTATTCTTGAACATGAGATCATGCCATAACCTAATCATTATGATTTTGTTATCCCTATGAGGCATTCATTAATTGCTTATTTTTTATTTACTAGTATTCAAACTCATCACAATGTAGACTTGGTGTCGTTGAAGGATTATGCACGCCTAATCATTATGATTTTGTTATCCCTATGAGGCATTTATTGTGGATAGAAAGCATGCTTAGAATGATGATAATTTAGTTTTAATCTCTTTGGGTATTAACATGAAATAATTCTATTTTTAGGGGCTGAGTGGAGATTTCTAGAGTGCAAAATACAAGATTGATCTCTAACTCCATTCAATAAAATGATGGACTTAAGCAAATTTTATTTGTTTCTAAGCATATTTTTTAACTTGTAGCAACTCAATAAGCCCAAAGTGAAATTACAAGCATTAATTGCTTATTTTTTATTTACTAGCATTCAAAATCATCACAATGTAGACTTGGTGTCATTGAAGGATTATGCACATAACTCTTTTGATTAATTGTATTATATAATCTTCGTCAGTGGAACATCTAATCTCATAAAAAATAAATGGTTGTGTTTTATTATATATTTTTTAATATTTTCTACATATGTGAGAATTTTTAAGAATGAGGAGTCTTTTTTTGTAGGGCTTCGGTCACTACTTACTACATCCTCAGACATACCATCAGCCACTTGAGGAAATGGTTGGGAATCTTCTAAAGTCAAACCCACAGGTGGCCAATGAGCTGCTTGAACACAAGGGCCTGGCCATTGTGCCTATGGATTCTGCATACACTGCTCTTCAAAATAGCTTGAACCCGTGCTCCAATTCATGCCAGTAATGATCAATTTTTACTTAATAATGTTTTCGTAAATGACATTTCTTAGCCATTTATTAATATACCTTACTTTTAGACTCTACAACTTCACCTGAAACAAACTTTTTGTGCTGTCCTAGCATTCCTCCGGAACTATATTGTTTTGACGAGAAATTTTTCAAAGTGCAACCTTGCCCTTCCTTCTTATCTGTGCAATCATGCTTTCATGCACTGGCTTCACTAAACTTCGATTTTACACTTATACCACTTCATCCATACTTGAAAATTGTATTTCATTTAAATACCTTTTTCATAAATTAGTAATAGTGGCATATGATGTGATATAAATCATTTGATGTTATAACTGTAAAAAATAGAAGTTTAGCTGTTAGATATGTAAATATACCGAAATTGCGTGGTATGCATGTATAGGGAAAAACAAATGAAGCAAACTATAAAGCATGAAACAAGCGTTGAGAAGTATTAGTCTTAACTTTGGTATAACAATATTTTATTAGAAGATTTACATGAATACCACACACTTCTTATTTATTCACAATCCGCAAGTCAAAATTGCAGAAAAAAAAAAAACAAGTTATCATATAAAATAAATTAATATATCCTATACAGAAAAGATTTTTTAGGATTTTATTTCATTTTATACTTCATTAAAGGTCGAAAGTTTATTCGATCCCATGCTTTACATTTACCCAGAAATTTATCCTAGACAAAAAAATGGAGCCCACAAAGGAATTAAAATGTATTTAACTAGGATAATATTTTGAATTTGGAATTTAATTTTTTATCATTATCTTTTTTATTTTATTCTTATAAAATAGATTGATGAATTGTATTCTAATTTGACTACTGATATAGAAAATTATTTTATGAGGCCAATTGAGTTCTATTTAGAACCAAATTATCTAAAAAAAATAGACATTAGAAAAGTTATTGAAGTTATATTTATGATCCAAAAATTATTAGAAGTTTAATCAACATTGAACCGAAGTAATAAAATTTTATTACTTATATTGTCTTAAAAAGCTTAGAACATTCATTTTATATAATAGAGTTGTTGTATACAAGAAAAAAACATAATGTCATTAAATAAGCTCCTAAATAAGTTATATCTATAAAATAGATTCCAAGCTCTAGTTCAATCATCTAAGTTGCTCCACAAAGGGGAGTCACAATGCAGCTATCACTTGATGGATCCTCAATATTAAGATAATCAAAATGATGGAAAGATTCATCAAATGGAGTGGGTTGTTGAAGATAATGAAAAGGTTGAACAAATTTAGGAGGTTGTTCAAAAGGATGTAGAATATCATGCTGCAAAGACACGTTGAAACCAGCATGATGAGAAATGATGCATTGAGCTGACGAAGAATATTCGTCGGTTGGAGGAATAGATCGAGTAAATAGAGAATGTTGAATAAGTGGGTGGTGAATATCTTGCTGGAAACACATATTGAAACCAGCAAAATTAGGAATAGGCTGGTCATGATGAGGAAAAGGTGATGCGGGTGAAGAATTTTATCCCAGATTGATCATAAAAAGATCATCTACTGCAAAAACATATTGAAATTAGGAAAATCAGGAGGAAGATAGTGGGCGAATTGTGAAGATTGATCATAAGAATAAGAATAAGGATCCTACTGCAAAGGCTTCTCTTCGCCCGGAAGTTGAGGTGCCAAATTCTCATTATGAGAGTCGGCTTGGAGGAAGTGCAGCCTCTCTCTGATATCTTTCAGTTTGATTTCCATGGCCACCATCTCTTCATGGAACAGCGTCGGGGAAAAGAAAGAAGAAGACATGGGAAGGCGGGGGATATGCTCTACGCTGTTGCCGCTTCCCTCATCGCCGTTGTCATCGCTGTTATTCCTCTTCTTGTGAAGGCAGAGGTAGTGGTCTCTAATCCGTCGAAATTCTGGCGTGACATTCTCCGTCCGGGTGTGCGTTCTTCTTTAAATCGGCTCAATCGGCTCAATCGGCAAATTAAAGGACCAGCCAAAGCTTCGTTGAGGCGGAGGTGGCCAGAGGAGACAGGATCGTAACAGAATCATTCAGGAGTAAATTAAATATTTTAGGGCCTCTATATGTAATAAACATGTTTTGGAAACCTGTATTGTGTAAAAAGCCCTAATTAAGTATATATTCAAGCTTTCATTTAATATAAAATAAAATTAAAATATTTAGAGTGTCTCTAGGCTTCACAGCTACATATGTGGCATGCCAAGAATTTTGCAACTCGACTATATTTATTTAAAGCAAAAATGAACAAAATATACATATCAATTCAACATAATATATATATATTAACAATTTTTTAAATGGAATCAGTCAATTCTTAATTCTTTAAAATCTAAGGCATAAATTTCATTTTTAAAATAATTTATAAAGAAGCTTTAAGTTTTACATAAGCTTCATTACTTGAATAACTTTCAAATTAATTACAAACAAACATTTCAAAACCTTACTAAATTTTTCACAAATCAACCTTTAACCTATTTAAAATTTCAGATAAATAGCAAACTTCACCAAATACAATCTAAACCAATACAACACATGACACAAAATGAATTCTCAAACAACCTTCAAACACGCATAAAACAATCATCAATTAGTCCAAATCCTACACAAATACATTACCCAACTAATCATTAAACCTTACTCAAATCAAACCTAGATGCTATATCAATCCTATGCCAATAACTTAAATCTTCCATAAGATCAGCCACCAAACAATCTTTGAGTTCCATAAGCCTGCCGCCCACATCTAGCCATCAAACCTTACTTAATTATTACTTAAATCTGATAGCCAACTAACCTCAAATCTACTCTCAATTGAGCCCACTTCAAAATCAAGCCAACCCCAATTGATTCAAGAATTAGTTGGACTCTTAGATGGTTAAAATGAGTGGCATGCCACACTTAAAACTATAAAAACAACTCTACATACCCTCCTACCCACCTTGGTACTAGGTTGCTCCTCATTGGCGAATTAAGCCTACTATCAATTGCCACCATTGGTTGGAGCAGGGAGCTAAGGGCGCCCAACCGGCATAACTCTTATAAATACCACTTGAGCTAAAGCTTTCTGGTTGAATAGAAAAAAAAAAAGGAACAAATTGGAATCCCAAGCTTACTAATTAATTTTGAAGATTAATTGGATTTATATAATTTTATGGATTGAATAATACAATAAAAAACAAAAAAATAAATTATTAAAAATTAATAAACATTCAAAAAATCATTTCTAACATTCTAATTAAGTTTTATAGAGATTTGAAGAATCAAAATATTTCCTAAATTTGACAAATATTAAAAAAAAAAAAAATTCTTGAGATTGCTAAAGAAAAGTAATTGGGATGGCTTGTAGTGGTGAGACAAAATCAAGGAGTAGGCTAAAAACCCAAAATTTGTCTTGGCTGAGAGAAACAAACTTTATAAGATTAACAGTAATGAAAAATTATCAATTTCATAAAAACCAACTAGGTTAAAAATATAATAAAATGAGCATTTACACCAATAAACAATCTTTCTTCAGTAAAAAGTACAATTAACAAATTCCTTGATGCTTTTTTTTCTTTAAAAGAGGGGGAAAATTACATTATATGAGAATAAGAAAGCCTAATAAAAATGCATGCAGATGCCTAGTACTCTTGGCATGATACCATGAATACGACATTTGCAGGCACGGTCGATGGTAAACAATGTACAACGAAGTTGAAACATCTTCATTTTTCATGGTCATCATTTGCAGGATCAACCTTGATTATGAGAGGTTTATGCAAGTCCACAGCAGGACTTGATGTAATCGGCATTTGAGGTGAGACCAAGAGATTCTCCACATCTAGGTTCTCTGCCAACGCCTTCTCCAAGGATGACTTGGCTACTTTTGTCACACACAACATAAGAATGGCTGCATTTAGACAAAAAAAAAAGATCAATAATAATAATAATAATATTCTCGGGAAGAATAACAGGGAAAAAGAATAGTTAACAAACAACTTGAGTCTCATGTGGTTGAAAAAAGCTAGACATCAATATTAGTTTTAAGCATTGGGTATAGACAGAGTATTATTTCGCAGCAGCATATTAGTGTTTGATCCCAATAAAAGTAATAGGTAAATTAGAATTTCCTTTTTCGTTTCTTAGAAGGAAAAAAGATAACTCAATTTTTGGTAAAGAAAACAAAAAATTTAAAATACAATTGACTCAGATTTCTCCTCAACCAAAAATTTGGTTATCAATTTCATTTTGGTTTCCATTTCCATTTTATTTCTACTTTTTAGTCAATTCATAAACGAAATAGAACCTATAACTACCTTCAAAATCTCTCAAAAGTAATGATTGCAGTTTTCACACATGATTGGTCAAAACAAAATCTAGGACACATTACATATCTACAAGAAAACAACTGAGCCTTTAGTAAATCACCACTTATAACTTTTCCAAATACACATACGAGAGACTAATTGCTGAAAAATCAAACAAGTTCGCCTGACTAGCCAACCTTGTTATTAATTGCCTCCATTAAGAGAAGAAAAAAGCACATAACAGGATTCAGTTCAGAGATATGTGGAAATAAACTCACCAGATACTACGAACCCTGATATGATAAGTACCTGCATTCATTAAAAAATAAGGAAAATGTCAATAGAACCAGATATTCACGCTGACATGCTCATCATTTCAATAGTAAATGTCAAAAACAGATGACGAAAACTACAAGCATTATTGTAAAGGAAGATTTACACACTTATGTATTTACAATCCGATAGTCAAAAATTGCAGCAACAAAATCAAGGAATCATACGATTTCATCAAATGTAGCATATTCAATATAGAAAAGGTTTGTCAGGATGTTGTTTCAATAGATACTCCATTAAAGGTCTGAAAGGTTATTTGCTCCCATGCTATTGTTCACAGAGTTTACCAACTATATCCTAGACAAAAAATGGAGCACACAAAGGAATCAAAATGTATTGAGCGTCATTAAAGAATGTAGGCATAAACTCACTTTTCAGAAGGTAGAAGTAAAAAACAAGTGAAAAGGTTTTGGATATGGTTTCTGATTATTAAAGTGAACTATAATAAAAAAAACATTGATTTTATCAACAAATTTGTCATATAAAGCATTAAACAATCATTTCTGCAAACTTAAAAATAAAACCTCTATATGCTTTAAAAATATTTTGCACATAATTAACCAAACAAACTGATTCAAAAAGTTATACAACTTAAATTTAAAGCTGATTGCATGTAGAATTTTAAAAAATTAGTCAAACTTTCAAAAAGGCCTGGAGAACCTCCAAGTATATCCAAGAACTTCTCAAAGAGAAAGATACTAGCCAAAAGCTAAGGCTAAGCATTTTGAAACATTCTTCAATCCCATGGTTCCACATAGCTTGCAAGGAAGAAAACATTGAATGTTTTTAATATTTAAGCAGTTACTGAGATATTATAAATTACTATTTTAGTGCACTTAAATTATGTAACACCCAAATTTCAAGAAAATAGGTAAAATCCGACACATTTGAAAAATACGTCAAATTTTATATCTTTCGGAATTCAATTGAAATAATTTTATTAAATTCTATGCATGAAATCGGTCAATTCTATATAAAACACCATACATGAATAATGAACGGATTGAGAGAGATAAAATTTGAAAATTTTAATTTTTATTAACTTAATTAATCCTTAACTATATTCTAATTCATCCCATAATCTCACAGACCTGCATTGTTCCCCACCGCCTCACGCATTATCTTCCATTCGATCAATCGAAAAGGGAGACGTGAACTTCAAAGTATTTTCCCTCACCCGGTTTAAGTCTTTTTCTCCTCTTTTTTCCCTTACAACAACGTCAACAAGTGAAATCTGTGAGCCTCTATGCTCAATTACTGTAGCGCAGAGCAACTCGCGATCCTTGCGCACGGCAGGGAGGCGAGCAGCCACCTAGAAGCCACAAAGCACGATCCTGGGTTCTGGGGCAATTTCTGTAAGCATGAATCCCACTCTCACATAATTTGAACTTTCATTTCCTTCATAACCCTTCTGTTTTGATATTTATCTCGATTTTTGTATTTTTCTTGCAGGCGTCGAATTTATGTTGAAAATGTCGTAATTGACTTGCAAGCTTTTGAAAATATTTTAGCATGAAATCAACGAAGAAGTAAAGTTTGACGTGATAGAAATAAGAGAAAGTTGAAATTAGGTTTTTCAGAAAGGCAAATTTATGCTAAGAAGCCCTTTTAAGATATGTTTTGGCATTTAATGCTTCTTTTTGGGTTAAGGCATGCCATGAGCAAAATTATATGACACTCTATGTTGTCTACGAGCCTCAGTTTGTATATACAAGACAACGAGATCGAATTGAGCGCGTGGGCACTTGTCGTAGGACTCTTCCGTCAAGTTAGATGAAATAATCTTGTGTTAATTTAAGAAAATTAATTATCTATAGGTTTTCATATAATTTTTAATTGACACAGTGTTTAAAATTTCTTGCATATTATAAATGGATACCTGCAATTAAAAATATGAATGTGTTTAACTTTTCTTACAATAAATTTAATACTATAATCAGAGTATGCTACATATGATTATATTTATGATATGAATTCCCTGCAAGTATTCATTTGTCATGTTTCATGTATATGATACATGTAATGCTTTATAAATGTTTGTTATATGGTGATTTAAATGTCATAATGAATGTATGAGTAGACTATCATGTGAGTAGTTGCAAGTACATTATGCAGGGATGTCGTATTTCCCACTTCTGATATTTATATGATGACGAAACTTTGAGAATCGTTGAAATTAAACGGTGATAGAACGTTAAGGAACAGTGGACATCAAAAGAGCTATCAATAGCTACTATGTTGGGAGAAACTCAACATTTATCGATAGTTTATATAGACTTTGGGGCAAGGTAAAGACCCATGATGAAATAACATGAAAAAAAGTTGAACATTATATATTAAACAAGTGACATTACTATGAAATGACATTGTTATGATTACATACAATAAACATTCTATCAACATATTTATGAACATGTTCTTTATTATACTTATGCTTTGATGCTTATGACCTATGTGTTACACTGTAGTTTTGATTTTTATACTGTCTTTTCTTTTCATATCATCTACTATGGTAGCATGTTATGACTTATGTATAGGCATGTACAGCTTCATATGAGTATGCACATTTTTATCTCTATGTATGCAATCTTATGTTAGCTCTGATTATTTCTCTAAGCTCGTTGTTGCTCATTCTTCGTTGTTGTCTTACAACTAGATACAACAAGCACCAGGGTGAGTAGTCAGATGTGTCTTTGTACAGCTTTAATAAGATAATATAGGGAGCTTCATACATATATTTTGTGTACATACTTTTATTATATTAAATTTAGCAACTTTGTATAATATGATTTCATGCTTTCGAGTATGTATATGAATAAATTATGAAGTACAATGTATTGTGTATATTGCGACGATCCAATTATACTAATTCACACCCATTGCTCCTGATTGTAAGAGTCAACATGAGTGCTAGTGAGAGTTGATATAACCAAATTGTCAGCCTCTGTCGTATCACGATTGATCCTACCAGAGGGGGTTAGTTAGGGTGCGACAAAAAGTAGTATCAGAGTATGGTTATTGGATGAAAAAAATAATGGAAGCGTGTTGGATTTAGAAAAAGCAAGAATGAGATCAAATATGAATTGATTTATACAATATTATAGGTTGATGAATCTGGAGTGGGTATTTCATACGAATTAAAGTATCATGCATGCACAGCATAATAATATAAAGATGTAGTTATCGTTAAATAATAAGAATCCAGGTTGCACTACTTGGGGTGGGCGTAACATTATTACTAAATACCATTTAAATAATAAATTGTGTCGATACAGATGAGCATGCCTGGAGATGAATCAAAAAGTACTAAGGTACAATCTCGTTGGCTAGGTGCAGAGCATGAAGATCTGAAAACGTTTGGAACAGAAATGAAAATCAAAACAACACAAATGAAGAAACCAGAGCTATTGAGCTATAGGCATTGTTCAACTGATGTCACAAGTGGTCAACAAAATGACTGCTATCAAAAGATCCTCCAATGGTATATATAGCCCATATTTGAAATTGGGGCAGAAGTGGATCGACACTTGAAGATATTTCAGTCTTTCAAGCCACCAAAATTTAAGGGTGCCCGTGACCCTACAATTGTTGAAGATTGACTTTTAAAGATCGTAAAAATTCTCGATTGTATGATTTGTCTGGAAAACAAAAAAGTGATACTAGTTTCTTTCATGCTAGAAGGCGAGGCAGAAAGGTGGTGGAAGTCACAACATATAAAAATATTTAAGCTAACACCTCTTCCACAAATTCAATGGGAAGAATTTGTTAAAGTCTTTAAAGATTGGTTTATTTTGCTTTCAACCAGATTAACACTGTAAGATAAGTTCTTCAATCTAACTCAAGAGACCATAAAAGTTATGCAATATAAGGTTAAATTCACTTCTTTTTCTAGATGCACCACACCATGTTAACACCCAAGAGAAAAAATGTCACACATTTTTGCGCTGCCTCAAAAATCAGTTGAGGTTGGCATGAGCTCCAGTTGAGATTAGTGATTTCTCAGTACTTGTTGAAAGAATCAGAAGAATCGAAAATGAGCTGAACTTTTCCAATCAACAGTGACAGCCTCAGGCAAGTAAGCAAAACAATTTTCTCAAACAAGAACACTTCCAAAGAAAAAAAGTTAAATCAGAAGATAAGCAGAAGCAGTCTCACATAGAAAAGTCAATTTGTCAAAAGTGTGGAAAAAAAACATCGTGGGCAGTGCTTGATTGCTTCTACAAAATATGACAAATGTGGACAACTAGGGCATATTCAAATAAATTGTCAACAAGAAAAGAACACGGCATACCAAAGACAATCTAAGGACAGAGATAGCCTGGAAAATTTTTGGAAGGTGATCAGTCGAGCATAACTCAATTTGTGGAAAACATTCAGTGCAAACAAAGGTTGAAACTTCAGGACAACCAATAAAAACACGAGTTTTTGCAATCACTCCTCAAAAAGCTAAAGAATCTGAATAAGTGATTACAGGTATGCTTCTAATTCAAGATTAGCCTTGCAATATTCTATTTGATTCATATGCATCACATTCAATTATTTCTGATGAGTTTCCTGCTAGTTTAGATGATATTCTGTATTTTTCCCCTGATCTGTGTGTTGTTATTCCTTCGAGAAGTGGGTTTTATGCCAATAAGAAATGTGTCGTGCATATTCATGTTCATGATGAGAAATTAACAACAGAGTTGATTATCATAGCGATTCAGATCTTTGATTGCATATTGGGGATGAATTAGTTAATAAATCATTTTGCTATAATTGAATATTGAAAAAGACATGAGTTTAAGACCTTTGATGTCATATTGGGGACGAATTAGTTAGTAAATCATTCTGCTAAAATTGAATATTGAAAAAGGAGGGTGAAACTCAAAACGCCTAGTGAAAAATTATATTTTATCTTATGTGATCAAAATGCACAATATTCCCTGATTAGTGCAGTGAAAGTTGAAAAATATTTGAAAAGTGGCGGACATGTA